TTCAAAAATTCAAGGGCCCCTTTGTCCATTCATCAGCACCCCTGATTGGGCCCATGTCATGGTTAGCTGCAGGCCCGGGCAGATAAAGATCAGCGGATGATTGGGCACACACATTCTTAACATGGCTGACCCGTGACATCTCAGGGGCAGGCAGGGAGCCCGTCATTATGTGTACAATGCACCGCTTTCTTCCCCCTTATCTCTGCTGATGACATTGAGAGTTTTTGCATTAACTCATTAACGAAAAGACTCATCATTAAAGGCATCACACAGGCACGGTGCGGCGGCGGTGACACCACACCCGCCACCGCAAGCAGGAATGTGTCAGAGGCTCAACAGCATGAGACCTTCTCAGTGTTTTACTTAAGATGTGAAGATTTGGAGATATGTCCCGGTTGAGATATGTTCCCTTGTTGTCTCATATATCACATATGATGTACTACATTTCAGTTCCACTTTCTGATAAGGCACTATTAATAAAGTACGTGTAACTGGTAACTAATAGTTTTTTTAGTGTCTTTATCAGTTAATATTGATAAGAACAATGTTTGGGTTGCCAGGTTGTAAAAAATGTCCTACAGTAGAGCTTTTAGGTCATTTGTACGACCTCTCCAGTGAAATCCTCTGGAGAGGTTGAAGATCTGGATTAAAATATGTTTATACACAGATTATTCACATTTAAAATTGCAGTCTGGATGACAAAGTAAAGAACTCATAACCTTTATTATTACTTAAATGATTATTGTTTACATTTCCAAATTTATGTATTGCAAAATTCTATAACTTCATTATGCATTATCTCCGCCAAGGAGGATTTCTTGTTACCTAATATAAAAGGTAAACATCACTCAACAGGGTTTTTCCATACCTGATAAACCAAAACTGTTCAATTTACCTCTTTGCATCAATTTGATTCAAACGAGACATGTACATAAAATCAATAACTAAATTACAACTAATTGTAATGATCAATGCATAAAGTGTATTGATCCTCAAAATATTCTGTCCCAGGAAGAAGTCTTGATAACGCTGTATACATGTGTCTCTCTATGTATGTCCTATGCGTGTACATGTGTGTGAGTGTGTGCACATGTGTGTGAGTGTGTGCACATGGTTGATGGGAGTGCTTATGTGCAGCTCATGTGTTCATGCTGTCATTTCCACAGATTCGTCACAGCAGCCTTTTCTCTGTTGTTTATGGTTATGTCACCACAATTACAAGAGAGAAGGGGGGCAGAAATAAAGTGTCTGTGAGAGATTGATAGCTTCGGTCTTGAGTTCAATTGTAAATTAGAATAGCAAGTCCCTCTGGGATACAAGGGCTCTATTTATGATTAAGAAAGAGCCTCCATAATAGAGTGGTGGTAGAAAAGTTTGCTCCCTCTCACAAACAGGCAATTAGCTTGATGAAATGGGCCTTACTTTTTTTTCACCGTCTGGTTATGTGAACCCATATTATAATGGGGATACTCATAGTTTATGGTATTATTTTCACCTTGGGCTGCAAACAATGTGGTGTTTAAACAAACGGTAGCGTTTTTTTCTCTTGTGTTAAAGCCCTGACCACCTTCTTATAAATACACTGGAATTTTGGCATAAAAACTTTAAAGGGCAGATAAATAACATGGGTGCAGGCACACAGGACATAAATTTGATCAATGTGTATTGATTTAAATTGGTTTCAGAATTTATTTTACACCGATTCTTTTCTATAGCCTGCCTATATTATTGATAATACCTGTACTGTATATGCTGAGGATACACATTTACTTTGCTTTTTCTCACAGAAAAGCATCAAGTGTTCAACCCTTTACGTCTGATCATATAATCCCTGCAATCTGATCCCATGTACCCAGTGTTTCCACCTTCTCTTCCTCTATAAAAACTAATCCCTGCATTGTGAGCTCAATGCGATGCCACTGATGCAACCTGGCTGCACAGATTTGTCCTGTATTGTGTGTTTCCTGCAGGGGATCAGTCACACCCTTTTTTCTTTTTTTAAAGGGCTGTGCTTTACTAATGTTTCAGTCATAGAGCAAAATCTGGATCAAGGAAAAGGAGCCAGGAGTTAGTGTTAGTTAACACTGGAGCAGTCTATTGATCTGATGAGCTATAAATCCTTCTCTGAAATATGTTGTGTAAAAGATTATTACCTGAACCACTACAGGTAGAGGCTTTACGACAAAAAACTGATCACACTGCAGAATATTAACGCACCAGAATAAGTTTGGTTCTATTGTAAATGAAAGAGTAAATAGCGTCTGCACATACAGTATTTACCCATACGCCACATGCAAAGAGTTATAAGATGTAGCATTGTGTCTGTGGGGGGTCGGTCACTTGTTCTTAAGGTGTAAACCAACAAATAACAATGAAATGTAGTATCATTTATTTCCTTTTAAAACCACCTAACACCCACTTCTCCATAATAGTCAGAGTCTAATTTTAAAGCAATGAGACGACTGAATTGTTGGTTGTAAAATTTAGAAAACGATGGCTTCAGTTCAACATTGTGACGACTTCCTGCTGCTCACTGTGGTCCTGCCTCCTCATTACTGTACACCACTGCCCTGAGCCTTTCTTTACTCAGTAAGTACTTTAATGGCCACCGACTGAAGGTTTGTCTTGTTGGCTGCAAGACATATACTGTATGTGTTGTTTTTATGTCCTTCACTGATATTTTTCCATTCCAAGCCAGACAACATGTGTGGCCACCCTCTTTTTTCACGCTTTAGCCCAAGGGCACATACTCCTGTGACAGCTGTTGTCATGGAAATTACACCAGTTTATAAGATTTGCTTTTAGTGCAGAAGACAGCGGTGATCATCCAGTAGCTCTTGTCTGTTGCTTACACTTAGCTAATAAGTTCATTTTTGTTCTCTGCTTTAATGCCTTCCTGTCTCTCTATGCCAGATGCTGTGTTTGCACAGCTACCGTCGGTGTTTACAGCTCTGTTACGCCCGCCGATTGATCCACAAACAGATGCGATCCACCAAAGCTGAATCGGCCACAAGTGTTTTCTGTGCCGCGCTTCAATCACCTTCGATGCCGACGCCCAGCCTTTTAGACTGGCTTATCTTTTTTTATATTCTTCTTCTGAACCTCTTGCACATTAAATTCACTTTAGTTGAGTTGAATATAAAACAGAATGTGCAGAAAACCTCAATGGTCCTAATGTGTTGACTGTGCTGTTCCAATCGTTTACAGCTTCTTCGTTCTTGCAACAAAATGAATGGGTGTTGTGCTGTAAATGGTTGAATCAGCTGCTGGAAAAATATAAAGACACTCTTATCCTGTGTATGAAGCCAAACTAATAATCAAATACAAGATTACATGAGTCTAATATATTAATTTAGTGTGTGAAATAATACATCTGTTACCTTGACAGTGGTGCCACCTCAATTGAAGGTCTGATAATTACTGTCTGGCTATTCTGATTAAAAAATATTTGTACAACGTTTTGTACTTTTGCTAAATAACACTCACCATGTGTGACAGAGGGAGTAGAAGAGTATCATCATCAGGCCTCTTGTTCCTGTAACACTTCTCTTTGTCTTCTTACAGTTTTACATGAACATGTTTACATTATCACTGATGGATGGAAACCAAATGCTGTGACTCCAGTCTGTGATGTCATCATCCAGCTTTTCAGTGGAGAGAATATTTACTTCAAAGTTAGTTGAATTTCACAGTGGTTCAGCATTTCATTTGAACTGTTCACATTCAGATAATGTACCAGGGAATTCGACTTTCTAATCTGCAAAAAATAGTAATCGTATATTATTAATTGTGATTAATGTTTTTTACAAACTGAAAACATCTAACGTGTAGTTGGTCCGTTTTTCTCAAAATATATGTCATGGTATAGTGTTGCTCAATGTTCACTTGTTGAGATAGTAGCTTAATTTAAATTTAAAGTATTATATAACACACTAAACTGGCTAAAGATTGTCTGATAGTGGAGCATACCCTGCAGACATATGACAGATAATTAGCAACATAGACTGCAGAGAGATCCTGTCATGCCTGTCTCTAACCTCTGCGTACTATCACATGTCGACAAATCCTCTCTCCATTTATTGTCTGTGGAGCAGGTCTGAGGTTTGACTCTGGTGACATCATCCAGCGAGTATTGATTCTCATGTTGGGAACTCTGTAAAAGCAGCTCTGCATGTCCTCATATGATGACACAGTAACCACCATCCTGTGAGTAATTTGTTTTCTGACCGCTTTTCCCCTTTAGGTCATTTTCACACCAAGAACATCTTCTCTTCTTCTTTCAGTCGCTTCGCTGCTGTGAAGGTTTCACCAAATCCTTCCACATATTCACGTTGCATGTACTTTCTTATTCCGTTTACTGTCTCCATCATTTCACAAGGACCACTGAAAACACGTAAATGGGGTAAGAGGGAGGTGTAAAGTAAATATTGTTACTAGTCACAGGCTGCTATTTATGTTCATGGTAACATTTAATACGTATTTTCACAAAGAACTATACAAGTTCTATACATTTGGTATAGTTACTAAAACTCCCATATGCTTTGACTTAACCACACTGTTGTTCTCATTCTTCTCAGTAATTCAGCTAAATGTAGAAAATACAGACATACTTCTCAAATAACATTAAACATAAATAAATTGGACCAATTCTTTATTAACTGAAATTACAACACAATAAAGAAGACATTTCTTTTTCAGATGAAACCCAACTGTCCAGATTTACACCTTCATACATTTCTTTATAAGTGGTAAGACTTATAGTACATGTGATTTTTCTAGTGACAACATTTACTGGAAATAAAAATATTGAATGTGGATACCCTCCAGAAACCTAAAAAGTCTTAATCACACAACGATTGATGAAGGTATTTTGGGTATTGAATAGTTAGCCACAATTCCACTGTTTCCAAATTGTCATTTTAGATGTTAACAGCACCTCTTAAAATGTAAGTGCACAACACTATAACACTGCGTAAAGAAAAACAGGCAAAAGACACAGCTCATGTGATATCTTTAAACTTTATTGTCATGGATGTGGTCGGTGTAGCACTGCAAATTGCATTTATGCACAACACTGGTTAATTGACTACTTCAGTCATTATCACATCCTTGGTCGTTTCATAATTGCACACACGTTACTGATACATCAAATCTCTGCGTCTCCAAAATGTCCAACAACATCCTGATGAAGTAAACAATCTGCCGAGGCTTTAGCTGTACACTCGTGTGGGTAATAGTTGATGCAGCAGGGTTGAGTTGTTCTCCAAAGCATATAATTCTGTAAACAAACTCAGTACCTGGAGATAAAAGGTTGTTACAGTACAGTTTAATATTGGTCAATCTAATGATAATGAGACACTGATCATCATCATTTACCATTAAAAGTGATTATATGATAGATTGTATCTAAAATTTAAGACAATCTTCATCTAAATGCGTCCGACATTAAATAGCCGAGAGAGCTGAAGCTGATTGTACACCACTACTTCAGTTTGTATACGTTTTATTCATCCCACACTTCTCCCACATTACACTTTGAGTTACAGTAATTCAATACACTGTCTGCTGCCTTCAGGGCCACATGTGAACCATGTCTGGTTCAGGTCTGAACTGTGCCACGGCTTCCTCTCTCGTGTGTCTTCTCCCAAACTTTTTCACTGTGAAACAAAAAGTGTGAGGCGAGTGGACTGCCCACTCTCCCTGTTTGAAAAGAAGAGGGAGGGCAGGTCACACTCGGGGAGACACATCTCACAAGTGCCCGGTGCAACCGCAGTCTCGTCCTTGTGGTTGCTCTGCAGCTCCACTGGGACAGATGGGGGCTTAAGCTGCTTTGCCGAAGGGCACTTCAGCACTAGTTCTTGAGGGTTACAGAGCACTTATCACACCATTCTCCTCGCCAGACTTTACCAGTAAGTCCTCAGACTTAAACCATTGACCTTATGGCCACCGCTGCTACAATGCCTCCACCTGAAGTAATCATCACGTACGCTCCATCAGTGCAGCCTTTAGCAGCCAAAACACATCATTTATCATTTACACCGCTCATTTCCCTCCACACTGCAGTTTTGATCACTTTCAACATAACAGCCATGATTCAAACAACCAGCATTTACAAATACATTAAGAGCATGCTGGCAGTCGGCCTAAGGAGTGATCATTGAGACAAATTGATCCCTATCTGTTTAAATTGGCACTATAATCTATCATCAGCAAATTGAACAGTGAACTATCTGGGATCTATTGCCATTTTAGATAGTGGCCCTCAGGGCAAATAGACAAAGAGAGCAGGAGTGATCTTCATCGCTGAATGAGCTCTTTATGAAACAATCTCTCCCACAAACACATTTTCAAATAAAAATAATCTTGGATATTAGACACCTTTTTCTTGCACTGTGTATATGTGGCTTTATATAGCCCCTGCGTGTATGCATATAATTTAACTGCTCATAGACTCACCATATTTACCAAAAGAGGGACTTATTAGATCTTTTTTAATGAGAACATTTTAATATAATATAATATGAGGAGAAAAAAACTCAAATGACACTTAAAAAGTCATGTCATACTTTTGTCATTCAATTCTGCAAAACACTTTGCAGTAAGAACAAATTATTAGCTATATAACAGTATTGAAACATTTTTGGGGAATTAAACATGTAAAAATTATTATTTTATGCCGTCACATTTCTAAAAATCCTTTTACGTATATAGTCAAGTTAAATGTTAAAATAACTCTACTTTTGCTGATGTGATATTTCAGATATATTCCCTCCTATATGATCATCTACATGATATGTGAGTGTATCCTATAAGATAACTCAGAATTATGTTTTTCTCAACAAATATTATTTAGGCTTATAGCTAAATTAAGCTACATGTACAAATAGTCATTTAATTAATTGGACTGGTTTTATTTATTTTTTTACACCTTTTCCACACAAGCACCATCCCAACATCACCATGAGACTCTGAGGAGACAAGAGATAAAAAAAAAAAAACCTTTACTAGAGAGTTAAAGGATCCTGATTGATATGCAATGCAGCACATAAAAATGTCATGACATGTGGGGCACAGCCACCATCAATCAAGTGATCTTTATCAAGCAGGAAAAACACAATCTGTGTGTTAGAGAGTTTTGCATAATGGAAGTAAGTTGGAAATGTTTCATTTTATACGAGAAACAAATGAAACCAGTTGCGTGTTTTTTAAGCAATTTATCTTTTCTGTTATCTCCAATGAATTCCTCTGCATTTATATATATTTCATATTATCCGATTTTCAGTTGTCAGAAAGGACCAAACGTTTCTCTTTTCTTGGTGTGTTTTTTAAGTGGGACAATTAAGTTTCTGTGCTGATTCCACAGTCATCTAATTCAATCAGACTCTTGAAGTTGATTAGCCTGGTTAACCTTTGCTCCCGCGCGGGTCTGGAGGGGTTAATCAGGCCGGGAACTTGCAGACCCCCGGGTCAGGATCCCTCTATCTGCATGAAGGACTTGGTGAAGGCAGAGATAAGATTAAAGTCAACTTTTATTTCACTTTCTGGCGTTTTCCGCAAGTGTGAGAGCAGATATACTTGCCGCCAGCAGGACGATCTTTTTGTACATCTACGTCTCAAGGCGCTTTTAAAAAAGTCTTTAAAAAGTGCGTGCAGGATATTTTTACCGCTGCACGGAGGGTGTAAAGTTTTCCTCTGGAGTCTTTTGACTTGATGTCGCTGTGACCACTGCGCGCGTTTTGGCGCATATGTGCAGATTTACCAATCTCTGTGCATGCGCCACTTTAACCTGATGCTTGAGGGAAAACATTTTTCCCCTTCGTTTTTCTTTGCACGCCCGAAAATCATCACTGTTATCTCCGCTCCATCGATTAATTTAACTGCACTTATCCCAATCAGCAACATCTCCACTCCTGTGTTCCGGAGCGTGCGCTTTGTTTTACTAACAATAATAAAGTGATTTAGTCCTTCCTCGCAGCCAGAGCATGGGAAATCATTACGCATCCAGCTATTTGTGTGTGTGTGGTAAATATTTAGTGCAGGCGACATCCTTCTGTCTCGTCTTAATCGATACCAGCCCCGTTGTGCAGCGCTTATTATTGCTGTAGTTGTGAGTGTGTGCATGAAGGCTCGCTGAGCACATACTGCTTTTATTCTTGCGGCTGAATGGAGAACAAATCATCACACACAGGAAAGTTTCAAATACAAACTGCAGCAACTGTTGGATTTTTAAAAAATAGCAAATCAATCTTGATGGTCTGGAAATGCCTGTGCGTGAAAAAGGTGCAATTAATATAGATTTATATGAGGTTAATTAAGACTATAATTCATTAATTATTCTATTATTTTATTCTCTGCATAATAAATAATTGCTGGAGGTGTGTAGCTGTTCAAAATATATACTATTGTTTTTGTGTATAATATACAAGCAGCAATTAAATATTAGAATTAATAATATTAATTTAATTATTATTATTTATAGGCTCCAGCTACTGAATATTTTTTCCCAGTTGATTTTAATTTGATGCCGTTTTAATTACCTCTCTAATCACAGCTCTGTTGTGCCTTTACTTCCAGACTGCATTTAATTTCCAATAAGCACAATGTCATAACGCTCGCCATGCTTAAAGACAGGTGTCTGTTCTGACTTCAGCCCCCTCCCTCTCTCCTCCAGTAGCCCACACAAAGCAGTGCGAGCGCGCCGCGGCCACATCACAGTGTAAGAGAGGGAAAAGACGCACAGGATCTCTGCTGCTCGCTGTACACAGCTACCTCTCATCTCCAGAGGCAGTCAAATGATCCTCGCTGCTCCGCTCGGACGTCAACGTTGTATTTCCAATTCCTCGCTCAACAGCACATGAAGTGAATCAGTTGCTTTGGTGCCGGCTCTCCAAAGTTTTTGCATGACCAGACATTGCAGTTTTCCAATAAACAACGTGCTGCTGATTTTTTTTGGTGTTTGCTCCCGGAGAGGAAGCTCTGCCCGGTTCAATCTGAGCACTGTTGTCGAAAAAGAGAAGACTAAATATATTCTGAATAAGAGAGGGAAAGAGAGAGAGAGAAGATGCATCCCGCTACGGACGATTCTGCAGCATATGCATTTGGTAGGTTTGTTACTATAAGAACCTCCTGCCTCAGTCTCACCATCAAATATACAGGCTGACTTTATGAATGGGTGTTTTCAGGCTATAGCTGGTCTCGTTGTTCATCATATAAATTAACACTCTGGTGAAAGGCGATAATCTGACAGTCTCTCGCATTCAGTGCGCACAGTGGATGTATCGTTTACGCACGTTATTAGACGCTGTCTGCAGCCCGAGATGTAATGTCGAGCACGGGAATCAAGCATGGCTACTTTTGCTCATTCAACATAATAAAGTATGCAAAATGTTATACTTACCGTTTAAAGCAAATCTGTCTCCTCGACGAGTCGATATCTCGCGTGCGTAATTGTATTAATTATTACTATTTACAGACTCTCCATGCTCGCGGGATCTGTAAATAAAAACCGATAAAATAGTCATGCAGACAAAACATCATCGGCTAATTTGTTTTAGAATAAAAGACACAATAGGTGTAAATACCACCGCTGGGGCTGTCTGAAGTGGCAAGAAAAAAAAAGGAAAAGTAAATCCAACTTTGGCAACTGTCAAAGCTTTGCCGTCCAAGTCATGTAAAACAGAATTTAAACAAACAGGCGTCAGTTTAAAATGGTGCTCGTTAGTTTGGTCGATGCGAGAGACGAGACTGAGGCGGTTTCCTTGTCGGATCGCTCCTCTAAATTGAATCTTATTTGAAAAGCAAAACGAAATCATACGCTAGGGGGCACCCATATACTGTATTACATCCTGGGACGATAATACACGCTGCTGCTGCTGCTGCTGCTGCTGCTGCTGCTGCTGCTGCTGCTGCTGCTGCTGCTGCTGGTGGTGGTGGTGGTGCTGCTGCTGCTGATGATGGTGGTGGTGGTGCTTCCTCTGTGGATTGACACACAGCTCAGGCTCCATGTTCATCTATGTGGAAGTTTTACCTGCGGTTCAACTTTGATGGCCTCCGGGTGTGGTGCAAGTTTCTCATGATTAAATCCAAGCGTTAAAAAAAAGGAGATGAACCATGTTGGGCAGCAACTTTTACATGCATCCTCCACTGTGTGTTCATTACATTTATTATGAGGCAACATCTGACAGTCATCACTGTTAACAGCTTTGTTTTACAATGTTGTTTATCAGAAAATAGCTCCATGCGTGTCATCCTAACCTTAATGGAAGGGCAAGGGCCTTTGACCTCAAGTGACACTTTTGGTGAAATGGTCTCTATTTAAAGCTATAGTCACTTCACGCTTTGGCCACATAGGCTCCTGTGAGACCCTGATTTTGTGTTTCTATTCTTCCTGACCCTGCATGTGAGTTTGGTGTATATGTGGTCAGGGGGATTAGAAGGGTACAGCGGGCGGCCACAGGATGTCAGTGGTCTATCATAACATTTATATAAGAGGTGTGGACTGTGATGAATGGGACCTGCTTTGATTAGAGGCACTAATAGGTATATTAGCCTGTACATATATAGAGAATGCAGATGGCGTTCATTATGATGGTCTTCTTCACCCAGTGGGTGACCCTTCTCAATGCCTGGCTCTTAAGAATCCACCTGCTGTTTTGTTTACGAATATAATTTCAAAACAATGTTTATAGTCATAATATGAGAGCATCATTTTCTCTCTTTTTGTGTATATTTGTTCAGAAGTGTAGTCTGTCTATAAGCTGCTGAAAGGAAAAAATATATAAAGGTACAATGGATAAATAGTTTTATTGTAAGGATGGATCCTGTCCAGAGAGGGACGCTGCAGATATTTATGTGGCTGCAGGATGTACAGTGACACGATACGAGGCAAATAATTGAATTAGATTTTTATAAATATTATTTTCCATTGAAATTCTCAGATTTTTTCCGGGCGTGCATGTGAGTAACAGTCTTTGAGTGACTAAGAAACGCGTCTCCTTTTAGGACCAAGCGGCCCTCTCGACCTCCACGCTGGCTCTGGCAAGGTACCAAGTAGCACAAGTGCCGAGCAGCCAATGAGGTCCAGGGGGCGGTCCCTGAGCTCTGACCAGTCAAACACACTCTCCTTCCTTATATGGCAGCAGATCTCCATGGTAACGTGTGCTAAGTTGCAGCAGTCGTGTCAAAGTTCACTATATAGAGGCTCAGTGAGCTGATCAGAGAGAAAGCATTCAGCCTGCCCGGCTCCAACCAAATCACTTCCTCACCTCCGCCTTTTTAACATATTCCATCACTTTCTATCTTTATTCTTCTCTCCTGTTATTTCTCTGTGCACGGAGGAAGGTTCTGCAGGTTGTGATCTCTGTGTGCTTCCTTTTTTTTGTTTTTGTTTTTTGGTGCTTTCGCTTTTTTCTGGAGAGAGGGAAGAGAGTTTGTCTTCATATTCCCGGACTCTGAAATCTTTTTTGGCTTCAGCTGCGCGCTTCCCTGGCGCTGCCTCACAAGAAGAAGAAGAAGGAGGAAAAAAAAGAAGAAGAGGAAGAAGACGCGATTTTTTTTTTTTTAACCCAGTTGGTGATTTTCTTCAAGACTTGTGCTGGAACTTGATAGTCTGTGCTCACCAGTTGTTTTATGCTGCTGCTGCTGCTGCACCATCCTGCTCCATGATCCGCTGATAGTCCTCTGCTACCTCGGCTGATTATCTCAATATTTACCCTCCTCTCCCATTGATGGCTGTGCTGGATGGCTGACTGTAAGCGCCCCTGGACTTGGCCTTTAAGCGCAAGGCAGCGACTCAGCTCGCCATCGCATCAGTTTTGAAAAACGTGCTTCGCAGCGTCTCTCACAGCAATAAACCGACAGTTTTCCGGAGGTTCACAGTGGATCCGACGTAGGCTAGACTTGACGTTCCCCGTGCCTGGCTGTTAAATCACAGTTCCTCGCGTTTCCCCGAGACGTCTGTTCACCGCGACACCAAAACGGCAGACAAAAAGTTTCTTTACGTTGACTGATAGATATGGCAATGGTAGTGTGGAGAGGCTCCCAGGACGATGTGGCTGACACCCAGGGCTCCCTTTCCTCGCAGACCCAAGGAGGACTATCCCTGCCCACCCCTCAACCAGGCCAGTTGAATCTGACAGCCTCTCAGGTCGCCCCTCCGACCCCTCAGACTCCGGTGCAAGGACCCCCGAACAACACGCAGTCCACGCCGACGAACCAGACGACGCAGCAGTCGGAGAAGCAGCCGCAGCACATTGAGTGTGTGGTGTGTGGGGACAAATCCAGTGGCAAACACTACGGCCAGTTCACATGCGAGGGCTGCAAGAGCTTCTTTAAACGGAGCGTACGGCGGAACCTCACGTACACATGCCGTGCCAACAGGAATTGTCCAATCGACCAACACCACCGCAATCAGTGTCAGTACTGCCGCCTCAAAAAATGCCTCAAAGTCGGCATGAGACGGGAAGGTATTGGGATTTTTTGTTTTCTTATCCGTGTATGTGTATGTAAACATGTTAGGCTCTCAGTGTAGCCCTGTAATGTCGCCCTCCATAGCCTTGTTCTGTCTCTCTCTCCCCCGACTCTTCCCTCCAAGGCTTTGCGGCTGGAGCGCGCCATGGAGCCGCTCTGTGATGTGGTGGAGACGGGGCTCGCCGGATCGTCCTTTTAGCGTCGCCTTGTAGCCGGTGCATTTCACAAATAGCTCAGATCCGACCCAGGGCGATCGAATTCACATTTAGAGGAAAGCACACGGCCGCAGAGGCACATCTGTACTGAATAGATGATACAATACACAGCCCTCTGCGCTATTATGGCGAGTGTCGAATTAAGACATAGCGTGTTCAGGCTACATCTCCCCACGTCCTGCTCCCCGTGACTAAAGCTGGACACCGGCTCGATTTGAGCGCACAAAGCCTCCGCACCTCCGCAATAATTTATCTGAGTATCAGGGTCGAAAATAGGCCTGTGTGCCCGGCAGAAAGAGATGAATTGCTAAGTAGGTTAAGGGTTAAACATGCAAGGTCTCTCTTGCCCTCTTTGTGTTCCTTCACAGCCAGCTCATGTTGCTGTGGCTGAATAACATCATTTTCAAGCTATGTGTTCAACGTGTTCAGAGCTCATCTCCAGTGTGTGTCCTCATATTCTGTGTCGTTATTATCACTGTAACCTGTTTAAAACTCCTGCATTGATAGAATATATAGGTACATGTGTGTAAATATATATATCCCATTATATCTGTGTGTGGGTGTGCGTGTGTGTGTGTGTGTGTGTGTGTGTGTGTGTGTGTGTGTGTGTGTGTGTGTGTGTG